AGGCAGAGCACATGGAGATGGGGGGGATGGAGAGCCGCCCTGGGTGGCAGGGTGGCCTTTTGTGGGTCCTGCAGCTGCCGTGCTCTCCCGCGACAGCTTTGGTGTTGTTGTTTCACCCTTAGATTGGGCGTGTTGATAAGGAAAAGTCTACCCAGGTGGATGTTGTTTTTCCTTGGGGTGATTTTGTCCTCGGAAGCTGTCTCCGGCACGCGGGTCCCTGCCCCGGGGTGGCTCAGGTTTAGGGCAGAAGGTCGCTGTTCTCCTTGGCTGGAGGCTTTGCGCAGGGAGCGGGATGCTGGCTGGGACCCCAGCGCTGGATGCCTCGTGCTCACCAATGACGGGATGCTTGGCGCCGGCCCTTTGCTCTTGGCAGGGGCGATGCGGTTTGGGACGGCCTGCGCAGCGTTTGCTGAGGGTCTGGAGCCTCCAGCGCTGTCGGTGCCAGCGCAGCCCGGACTTTGGGAGCGGGCTGCTTGTGGCCCAGCCCCCTGCATCAGCCTTGCGAGCAGCCGATCTGGCTCCTCTTGGGCAGACAGACACCGGTGCCAGGCATCCATCGCTGGGCAAGGAGCCCACGCTTAGAAGCGTGTGCTGGGGTCCTGGCTCCTGGCGAGCTGGTGTCCTTCTTACGTAGGCTGGGAGACCTTGGACCATACGGGGTGTCTGCTCTTTCCCAGTGGGGTTTGGGCACAAGGTGACACCGTTTCCAGCCAGCACCCAGGCCGTGCTGGGCAGGGGCATCCGAGGCAGGACCAAGGGCTCCTTGGGTCGGGCCTGGGGCGAGGTCCTCTCTCCACATCCCCCCAGCCGGGCAGACGCCCTCGCAGCGGCTCTCCCAGGACCCCGGAGCCGCAGCTCCCTTCGGCTGGATGTTCCCGTACCGTGTTTCGACAGCCCGGCACCGCTGAGAAGGCTCTCGGCGCTCCCGCCCCGGGGAGCCCGCCGAGGCTTCCCCGCACGGGCGAGGAGCGCTCCGGAGCGCCAGATGGCATTTTAATAAATAACAATAGCCAGTTACCGCTTAGATGGGATAAGCCCTGTTGTAAATCTGCCCCTTTCCCCAGACTTTCAGTGGCCTTTGAAGATCTCCTCCTCCTTCTCTTTATCTCCATCCAGAGCCAGGATTAGACCTCGCATTCAGACCTGTTACAATGCAGCTTGTGTCCCGGTCCCTCGGGAGCCGAGGGCTCATCCCGCCCGGCTGAAGGCAGTTTCTTTGGCATGCTTTGTAGTGCGATACACCAGGCTGGTATCTGGCGCTCTAGTCCTGAGTTGCCACAGCGTTGATTTGGCATCTCATTCTCAGCCTCATTATCTTTATTTAATTAGCACACGGCCCTTCTGGGGGTTGTGCCGCTTCCCACACGCTCCCTGCCACGCATTGCTGCAGAGGCAGCTCTCCCCGGAGGAAGAGGAGCTGCTGGCTGGGGAGGGGGACGAAGGCTCCTGCATGCCTCCGCAGGGAGGGGTGTGCTGCCTTTGGCCTCTCGCACCCCAGATTTCAGCCTTTCCCCTCACCCTTCTCCTTTCCGTGTGCAAGCACCCAGGTAATTGGGGGGATTTGGGGTCGAGGTGGTCCCCACGTCGCACAGGCAGGTGGTAGGAGTCCCCTTCCAGCGGCGCGGGGCTCCCAGCACAGAGCAGCTCAACGTGCGGCACCTCCCTGAAAATTCCCCTGGGCATGTGCTCCCCGCACCGGGTTCGCCGGGGTTCACACCCCTCACACTGCTGGCTTCACCCAAAGACAGAGAGGTTTGGGGTCTGGCTGGCTTCCGTGCCAGGGAGCTAGCAGCAAGCTCCCTCCTTGCATGGCCCATGGGGGGGTCCTGGAGAGGGGCCACGGTGCCCCCAGAGCCTCTGCCCCGCTCAGGAGGGGGACTGAGGCTGGGTGGTGCGGTCGATGGACACCCAGACTGTAGAAGCACCCATGGAGAACGTGTGCGGTGTGACACCGCGCGTTCCTCGGGCCCGTTGCTCCACCTTTTTGATGTCCCTTTTCTGCTGGCAGCAGGCACGGTCTGTTTGGGCGCAGTCCATAGGCGATAGCAGGTCAGGCTGCGGCCAAAACCTGGATTTTTGCAAAAATAAATTTCCCTTGCAATCAGTGACTAATGGAAGCATCACCCCAAATTAAATAAGGGAAAAAAAAAAATGCCAAGCAAGCATTGCACTTGCCAACTGTTTGCAGCTTTGCATTGCAACACGGGCTTGCTGCATGAAACCCAGGAAGTGAAACTGCCGGCGATTAATTGCCCGGGCTCCCAGATCAAAGGCAGCTTGGCGGCCAGGCAGGGCGAGCGGCCGCTTTACAGCCGGGCACCTCCACAATGGGTTGCTTGTAGCACGGTTCAATCCCATGCCGTCAGCTGTGTCTCTGGCACCTGAATCATGCCGATGAAACTGCGCTGTGGAAGCGGAGCGAAAAAAAAAAAAAAAAAATTTTTGATTTCCCGCCGGTTCCTTGGATGCCACTGTTCAAACCCCGAGGGCTCTTTCCTTCTCTCCCCTTCAAATTTACTCCGCTTGCTTTTGGACTGCGCTAACGTGAAATATTTCCACCCAAAGGGTGATTCCTTTTTTTAAAAGAAAAATCAAGTGCCTTTTAAGAGAGACTTAAAAAGAGAGTTACTGCCTCGGCTGTAGACAGGCTGTCGGCTCCAATCCATCTGCAGCCGCTTACGAAAGCGGGGAGGGAGCGAGCCGTGCAGGTTCATAAAGCACAGATCGTCCCAGGCAAACTCGATTGCTGCCTTTAAAGAAATTACAGGGTTGCTGGACAAAGGGATGTGATCGGTTTAATTTATCTAGGCTGAAGCGAGGCGTTCTGCTTCAGTCCTATGGGGAGAGAAATAGCTGGAAGGATGCTGCCCAGGCTGGAACGGCATCGCGTGGGTGGGAAAGCCGTCGAGACCTGAAACAGGGTAGTTTGGGGCTGGCATTTCCCGGTGTGCCGTGGGCTATCGCTCCCTCCCTTTCCCGAGGGGGGTGACCCCGAAGTTTTGGGGATGCGCACGGGGTTCGTAGCTGCTCGCCCGCATCCCATGCAGTCATGGAGGCTGCCTGCGGCGTGAGTCACTGCTCTCTGCTGCTGCCAGAATGGTTTTATTTCCGTGGGGTTTTTTTTCAGCTCCCTCCCTTGGACTTTGTTTGCCAGGGTGGGGATTGTATTCAGGAAGAGTTGCCCCCCTCTTCCCCCAGCCCTGCGGCTCTGCGAGGCAGGGTCCGGCCTGGCGGTGGGCGGGTGATGGACATCCCGTAGGGATGGCCGGTGGGTGCCACGCCGCACGATGCCCCACAGAGGGTGCAGGGGCAGTTGGGCAGCAGCCCTGGGGCTGCGTTACTCCCCACATAAATCCCCTCCTGTCAGGCCAGGCTGCGTCTCCCTCCCATCAAACCAGCAGCTCCTTTTCAGCCGGGGGAGCTCCGCTTCGATTCCCTGACCTGTTATCCCGTGGCTGTCAGTGACTGTCATGTTCTCCCCAGAGGTGACCGCAGCTCGGCACCAGGAGATGTGATCTGTGTGCGGAGGTTCAGGGTTGG